GCCGTTAGCGCGGGACATGTTCATTGGCCATGGCGCGTAATACAACCAAAGTGATTTCAATTCCGGCGCTGTCGGCCATTTTGCCATATGAATGAATGGGATGGTCCCCCACCGCCACCCCCATCCACAGAAGCGGGCTGCCTTGTGGGTTGTTGGTTGGGTCGTGTCTGCGATTATTAACAATTGTGCCATGCGCGATTTCCTTTAGCCTCGTTTCATCTGGTTTTTCCGTTTTCCGTTTCATTACATTTGCCCACCTTTGTGCATTTTTGTATTGGTTAAGCATTTCATTGAGATTTACAATTTGCCGCCTACGCGAATCAAGCTCCAGTCCCGGATCCGCACCCACACCCGCCCCGGACCCTTAACCAAAACCAAAAGTAGAACGTAGTTTCTCCAACCTTCTCTTCAGTGTGTTTTATTGTTTTCCATATAACCGACCACGGCCCCTCCACCCTTTTAATCATTTACACTTGGCTAGCGGCTTTATGGAAGCCTCGAAGCCACTTGAAACTTATCGCGCCTCAAATGAGTTATATTATGCCCGATTCAACGATTGCCGGCCACCAGCGAAGACCTGCCACAGTTTGGCCATGGCTTACCACATGCAACAACACATGTACGCTGAATGCAGCAATGGTTATAGTTCTGAGGTTGCAAAGCAGTTCAATCAAGAATATTTATCAATACCGAATCCGTGCAATATCGGTTATCTATATGTATGCATAGCTGATTGTTATTTTCTGTGCAGATGTTTGGATATTTTGATTTCACTGTAGTTGAATATTGCCAGATGATTCTTACATATTTATTATATTTATTTATAAGTAAATGGGCTTAAGATAATTCTTGTTGTTTTATTCCCTTATAGAACTCTATTGTATTAAGAAAACACATATGTGGCTGTGCTTCTTCTTCCCGCATTCCCACTTTAAGCATCGGAAATTTCTTCATAATTAACTTCGGCGTTAATAGTTCGAACCTTATGAAATCCTTTTGAATTCAGGACTTAAATGTGGCATACAATAGTATGCATTAGTAACGCTATACCCCTAAAAAACAACTAGTTCCTTTTCATTTTTGTAGGAAAGAGCGAACAAATTTAAATATTCAAGATCTGTATATACCCAAAGAGAACGTACATAAGCTCCAAGATATTGTCAATACACCTTAAGCGAAATGGAAAATGATGTGACCTACCGATAATCTGGAATTATCTTATAATACCTGAGATCGACTCGGCTGTTGATACAAATCAAAAGAAATACAGAGTATTTATATATATATATAAAATATATATATATATATATATATATATATATATAAAGAAGTCTTCATCTATGCATTACACATTTCGGCACAATATTATATGACCCTCTTATATAGATAGATACAGTGACAGCCTTCACATATTGGACAGCAAGTACAAACGTATAAATTTCGTAATCTTAATTTCTTCCATAATGCATACAAAATGCATTCCCATAGCCGGATGCTCCAAAATTGAACACTAATATTGAAAAATTGTAATCAAAGCCTCTCACATAAGCGGAAAGATGATATGAATTGTATTAAATCTAAAGTGTATATGTGTTGATGCGAATGAAATTGTCTTTTAAATTAATTAATAACATACAAGACAAGCTGCCTCCAAGCAATAAAATGGCACCAAGAAAATATGGTTTATCTATTAAAGAAAAATATGAGATAATTTATTTGCGTTGAAAAAGAGAAATTGTCGGTGCGTGAAATTGCGAAGAGTTGAAGTTGGTTTTCCTTTAATAAATTCCATTGGCTATAATTTTTTTATTTTTGTTAAGTTATATATTGCATTGAAACAAAAAATCAGTTGCCTTAATGGCAACTCATCTACCGGAAAATAATCAATATTGGGAAATCATTGGCTGCAGAATTAAATTAAGAAAAATAGATTTTTTCTATATGTTAAGCTCAAATGGAGAACTAAATCTCTCATAACCGGATTTATCCCATAACCGGACAAAAACACAACCACAATGAGCGTCCGGCTATGGGAACTTTCACTCCAAATGTGTAATTTTAGTATTTGCTTTTACTAAATAAATTGTTGTAAAATACTCTTGAATTAACAGAATTTGCTTAATAGAATAATTTAATGCCATTTGCACAGGTTGAGCCGACATCTTGTCAAACTAATATCTAGAACTCATTTGTATTACAAAATACAACCCATTTTTCGGTTTATCCTCTATGTAATTCTACTTATTGCAAATGATTTGAGGGCCATATAAAGCACGAATTTGAAAACAGCTGAAGTAGGAACAGAATATTTTGAGCGATATTAGTGTCGACTGGGATTAGAATGAAATGTCAGCAGCTAGAGGGGACCATGTTGGGCCCAGTCGCAAGCATTCACAGCGTGGTGTCTGGCATCCGGTATATACTAGTATCTGGCCAGCATTACGGGTCAGTGCTTTTGGCAATTTCCAATGCAAAAACAAAAGCCGCTGACATGGCAGCAGATGGCACAGCACTTGAGGACAACAGCAGGATGCACGGATGGGGAGGAGCATTTGAGGTTGAGCGTCGCCGTTGCTTGTGTCCAACTGTCGCCAGCTGCTTATTCTCGGAATTGTCCATTTAAATTTATTATATTAAGCTATTATTCGAGTGATTCCCCGTTGAAAATTAACATTCGAAGGAGTGTTTATTTTGTTTTCGGCAAGACGCACACACAAAGAGGAAAGGAAGCAGCAAATGAAAACAACGAAGTGCTCGACTCGGACGATACTCTGTACCCTGCAAGCTGCAGCATCTATGCTTCTCCGTTTCTATTCACTGTGGAAAATTTACTTATAAAGAGCTTTTTAAGAACAAATGGCATTTAAATGCTTTTGTGTTTTAACTCTGAATTGCAACTTTTGTGGGAAAAAGTTAAAAACAAGGACTCACTGCCTTAAATTTCTATTGCCTAGTTGGTGTTATCGATATCTACGACTTCTGGGAAAATGGGGAATTTTATCGAGAAAGGATAAACTTGTTTTGCGTGAAAATTAGAGCAGCCACAGTCTAAATTTAATGTATATATCCTTTAATGGTCCTTTTGGACAGAGACAGACTACACGAACGAGTTAACGCGCGTCTTATTTGAAATGTATAATATGATATGATTCAGAGTGCACATTTATAGTTTAGGTAGATAAAGTAAATTTACAATATTTCGTAAAATAAATATTATGTGCTCCTTACTCGAGCAACCATAGCACTCATATGCATGCATGTATATAGGATTCGAAAATAAAACCAGGAGTTGTCGTATTTGTACTCAGTTAAAATAAGCTGACGAGTATAATGTAGCCACTCGTTTGGTAATAATATACTCATTTATCACAAATGTGACCCTACTTTGGATAATTAACCCACGACATGTTGATAGAACACACAAGAGAAGAAGATTCGAGTGTGAACTGGAAGGTCAGTGTGGAATATGTGTATTCACTGCTGCTTGGTGCATTCATTAATTTCATTAAATAAACTATTTATACAAAAACAATGCAAGTGCTTATTGCAGCCTTCGCTTGGCCGTCCCTACATGTTCATATGCCAGCGTTGTAGTTGAATTTTTTCGCACAAATCTTGAACCTATTTTGTGCCCATTTTGTAGTTTGCCAACACAATTTGTTAACGTAATGTGTATATTCACACATTTGTGTATATTATAATCGTAAGATTTGCATAATAGGGCGATATTTAAGAATCAATTTTATTCAACTGGCATCTGCGTTTAGTATGAGAGAACACATATGCATACATACACACATACATATATACATGCATGCATATATGCAGACATACCTGCATATATACATGCAAACATGAATTAATTAATGCATGCATATATAAATGCATATATACAATCCTACATACATGCATACATACATGCATATATGCATACATACATACATACATACATGCGTACTTATACATAGAAGCATACATACATGCATAGCACATGCATACATGCATACTTACATGCATTCATACATGCATACATTCACAAGTAAAAACTTACAATCATAAAAAAATTAATTATGTATTTTGAAAGCAATATGCTCAATAAACGGTTATGCTATGACTAATGTAACAATTTTTTAAATTGCGTATAGATTACGATATCATGCATATAAAATTCATATTCATTCTTTTCCGACATTTTCCGGTCATGCCATATGTTTATATGCATCCAAATGTTTTGCACGCCGTAATTATAGACTCATTTGCAAGGCAGATGAAGAGCTTTGCAACTTTTTTTATGCTAATGTATGTAAAATGTGTAAAAAAAAAAACAGAAAACAATTTCTGTGGTAACTCATTTTTGTGGGCCAGCTTTGAACCAAACGCGTTTTTTTAAATCAAAAGAACTCAACTGGAATTCCAAGTTTTATTTAACTGTAAGCCAAAAGGCAGCCAAACTAAGTCCAAACGGACCCAATTTTCGAAGAGATATGTTTCGCTAAAAACACATCTATTGGATATTTGAACAATATATTACAACATAATTTGGTTTACGAAGAAGCGATTGCAATGTAAGCTAGGCTAACTAGCCGAATCTATGAACAGACCATTTTAACAATCTTCATAAAAATCTGAACATTAGAATAACTACCTTTAAGCAAAATTTGCACCTCAGGCATTAAAACAAGCTGCACATAAGCCTATGCATGTCCAAACATTTCTATTCTCAAAAACAATTACGCAAGTATTTCCACCTCAACTTGTTTCCAACTCCCAGGTACTTTTATTAACTATTTTACAGCCACATCAACTGCTCGCATTTGCCGTTAACGAGTAAAATACTTTGCAAATGTGTAACAGCCCCTTCCGTCGCCAGCTCTTGCTAGCCCATCCATTAAAACAGACATGAAAGAGCGTACGCTGTGTTAAACATAGTTTTAAGAGTTTTATTGAAGCATTGTTTGATTATTGTCCACTGACTCATTTCCTTTTGCTTTTCTTTACAGGTTTCATTCTTCCTGTCATCGTATGTGGCCCCATTGACACTGATTTGCTTTCTCTATATGGGCATGCTGGCACGATTGTGGAAAAGTGCGCCCGGCTGCAAGCCGTCGGCCGAGTCGCGGTGAGTTAAGATATGCATACAAATATTACGCATACGCCACGTGTCGCGGAATTGAAATAAAGAGCCTGCAGGCACGTTGTTTTGTTTGTTGTTTACTTCACACCCACATTCACGCACACGCGAAAGGAACACACGTGGCGGTGGCTGCACCTGCCCCATTCGTCATGATGAATGCTCTTGTATTACGCTTTGGCATTCCACCGAGTAGACACCGAATAGAATTTCGTGGGCGTTGCTCATGCATTTTTAAGTACTCTCCCTCTCTCTCTCTCTCTTGATTATTATATACCTTGCCAACTCTCACGCCGTGCCGTTGCCATTCACTCATGTAATTTGCCTTATACACTTGCAATTACAAATACAATGTAGTTAGACACTGTAAAAACTGTAGTTGTAAATAATTAACTTAAGCTTGAGCACCCGAATTATAAGCCTTTATTGTCTTTATTACCCTTAAAGCTTTGTGAATAGCATTTCTCACTAATTTATGAGTTTTGATCTCGCAGCGAAAAACTCTCATAAAAACCTTTTTTCAATCTCAGCGCTGGCAGATGTGCGGAGGAAAAAAAGTTTATATCAGAGCAACTTTTTGCTCGAACGTTGACACAAAAATGTCATAAAAACGCTTATTTGAAATGTTGTAGGTAAAAAGTCATATCTAAACAAGAAGCATACCCTGTAGCCACAATAAAAGGTTAAATGGGGTGTAAGTAAACTTATATCACTGAACGAAGGATAGAAACTCTACCCGTTGCTTTCTTTCGATTGTAGTATAATCAAAATACAATATGTTTCGGTAAACTCGACGTATATCGCTCATTTCGAATTATACCCTTGTCACGATATAAATCTAAGCTCTGAAACCGTAAAGTATACGAATACGTTGTCTATATTGAGGTATACTTGTTGGGCTAGAGACATAAAAAGAGTGTCCCAGCATTTCCATCTAAAATGCGACAGATACAGCAAAATCTAGATAACCATCTGCACAAGAGCACCTACTTTCTGATCATAAAAGCTTAGCATATAAAATTCGATATAGCGGATATTTCGACATACATTTATTTCATATTTTTATTATATGTAGCTTCCATTTATTTTGGACAGCCTGACTAGGGTATTGCGCCTGCCGTAACATAATGTTTACATGCTTACATACATACATAGATACACAAAAACGCGCATACACATGCACAGAGAAACACAGAAACTACAAGTTGTTCACTTAGACGGCAGCTTCTGTGCCTCTTCTTCGTCTCTGCACTGTGAAAAATTCGGTATTGCATAACTTCAGCATTTATTGTCCTATCGTTATGAAATTTTAAGGGCATAAAGATGGAATATAAATATATGCATAAACATAAAATAAGCATTGAAAACATGCGTAAGATGAGAAAAAAGGGGTAGCCAAAATGTAAAAAGTCCTTGATTTCTCATATGCTTAAAGAGATTTATCGGGTAAAGAGAAATGTGCGCACATATCGAACACAATAAAATAATAGCCAACATTTGTTTTGATTTAAATTACCCAACTAAACGCTTTTTAACATTTACTATTCATTTAGTTATCACAACTTTAACATGCCCTCATTATTTACTCATTTTTAATGGGCAGATGGCGTAATACAAACGATCCAGTGCCAATATAAGGCTAATTGGTCTAACCAAAAATGCATTTACCGCTAATGTACACAAACAGGGTTCAATTTTCAACTTACCCTCAATCAAAGAGTTATTTAACCCAAAATAATAATTGACAGCCAGGAAGTTAAAAAAGTGGCTGGCTGAAAATAAAAGGAACGATACCATTAAAAAAGAATAAACAAAATAATGGGTGTTGTGTTAACAAATATGTGGACTTTGCGAGTCGCGTTACATAAATCAAATTGCGTTTTGATATGCTGTACCCATTGAAATTGGCTAAAAGGGTATAATGGTTAAGTGCAAACGTAGGTAGCAGGCAGAAGGAGGCGTCTCCGACCCCATAAAGTGTACAAGCCCTAACCACAATTAAGTTTTTTTTTATTATAACTGTTTACCGGGCTTGCCCATGGCATATTTAATGCTTCAAATTTAAAATATTACTTTTCACCCAAAAACAAAAGTGAGAATCAACAGTTTGGTCTAGTGGTGAGAATCTTATAGCCGAAAAATAAATTTTCGTTCATGAAACCTTTCACACTCATTTCACATCCAAGAGCGGTGTAATTTGCGAAAAACATATTATATACATTTTAACAAAGATCTCTGAAAGTGTGTTTAAGGCTTATCCGATGGTAAGATAAAAAAATTGCAAGCTACCCGCTAAATTTTCGAAGTTTCAGCGACGTATTCATTTAGTTTTTATTAAGAACTTAATATAAAGGTTCGCCCTTATAAACTTACCCCCATTTATAATCCAAGAGGCGCGAATTTGGCGAAAGTGTGAAACACGTCTTTAATTAATTTTCACAAGGATATTTAAAAAATGATTTTGAAGCCGATTGGATGGTAAACAAATAACGTCTGTTTTACGCCAATTTACCTCAGATGTTGATGGAATTTTCAAAATCGCTGAAACCTTAAATAACGCCCAAAATATGTTTGGCATGCATTTTCCACTGAGAAAGCTTGGATTCTAGAAAAAGTGTGAAATACGTCTGAAATGAATTTCTTGAAATATCCTTGGATTTGACCAGGAAACTTGAGGAGGAATGGTTTTTCCCGAAAGTGTGAAACACACAAAGATCTTTGATATTGAGTTTGAGGCCGATCAGATCGTTAACAAAAAAGTTTCATACATCCGATTTTTCCACACCTGCATGTGGAATCGGCCAAAACCTTAGCGTGCACCTCAGGACAAACAGTTTGATAAGTATATGAATATATAAATAGATATATAATTTTGATCATGGTGAGAAGCAGAGTTAATCTAGTCTTGTCTGTCTCTCCACAGTCTCAACACATCGTTAACTCGCCTTTTTTCTAAGATATCTATCAAAATCGACCTTCAGATTACTTTTTTGAGTTCATTAGTAGCTATTTAGCACTAAAAACACCAAATTGTTCAAGCTTTCTCTCCTTTAGTGCACACCTTCCTTCACTGCATATATGTATATCGAGTGTTTCCTTTTACTGATTAATTTCCTTAAAATAACACTTGCATTAACAAGATTTACTTGATAGAATAATTTAATGTCACTTGTTTTATAAAGATAAAACAAAAACCAACGATGTTTGTGAATAGCTGTAAATAAGATTCTTGTATTTTAGAGACGGCATTTCAGCGCTGAGTGCGCGGCCTAGTCGGGCCCCTTCCAACAAGAGAACTCTTACTTGTTGTTTTGGCTTTCAACTTTAAAGCGTGCCACACGCTGCGTATGCGTGATGTGACACTTTGTTGCAGGCAAATCAAAAATCCAATTCCGCATTATGCCTGCATTGCTTCCACACACCCAACATTTGATTGTACATTTGTACGTGGGTGTGCGTTTCTAAATGAGTATTTGTACATACCTACTCGCACGCACACGTACACGCACACGCACACACACATACACACTCACGCGCCCAATAAATCGTATGCATATGCAAATTGCGCATACGCCGCGTGACGCGTTTGTGCATTTGGCGTTGGCAATTGACGCAAAAGGCTGGAGCTTGCAATGCCTGAGTTCATAAATCAGATTGCGTATACCAACTCAACTGCAGCAATATTTATTTTATTTAACTTATTTATTTTTTTTCAAAATGGACCTATGCGGACTTTTATATATACTTTTCTCTTTCATATCCTTACACTTGCAGCAAAGGCAAGCGCCGCGTTACACGTATGGTTGTTGTTGTGGTTTTGGCCTTTGCCATCTGTTGGCTGCCCATACACGTAAGTAACTCTATTAAACCTTTTATACCATCTGCTTCATATATGCAATCACTTTGAGTTTATCACTTAAAACGGAAAACCATTTAACAGATTGAGTTAAAATTATTTCACCAATGACACTGGCTGCAAGAAGCATTAAAGATTAGCTGAAAGCCTTACAACCGTTTTCATACAAATATTTTCAAATTTCAAGTGCACTCAACTTAAATTAATGCTTACAGCTACTACTTACTGCTTACGTTATTAAAGGACAGCTTAAAAAAAAAATCAATACTCTTGTTAAAAGCTTTAATGTGCTTAATAGCAACAGGGGAACAGCCTGAAGCTTTGGGCGAGCTTTTAAAAATATACACAACACATACATCTAATGTTGCTTAAATCTACTTGTGACCTAGAAAGCTTTTACAATTTTATATAATATACATAGTTTAAATACATTTTTTCATACATAAATATTAATCAAATATAAACTATTTACACTTTTCTTTTAAGTTAGATGCTTTTGAAACTTATAGATGCTTGATTATATAGTGTCGGGGTTTTGGCTTAATAAAGCTTTATTTAATATTTGTAATATCACATGTATTTGTTAAAAGCTTTTATATATGGAAAAGCCGGCGTTTAGCATAAAACTTAGCTTAAAAGCATTTCCTTTCAAATGTTGTATATTTCCAAATAAAAGCTTGAAGCTTCATCTGAATGTTGGTGCTTTAAAAGCTTTAATATTTCATATTCATCTATAGCTTTAATGAGTGCAAATAGCCACAAATGTGCTTGGCTGAAAAGCTCACAATCAAACGAGTAGTACATTTAGCCCAGCTTTCAACTTTAAGCTTTTGTCAGGCAAGTTTATTCTCTCAACACATAGCCGCTTTCAGAGGTTAACGTAAAGTATTAACGCGCTTCTGAAGCTACATATATTCCGTTAATGCAGCCTTCAAAAAATAAATTAATTTTATAATTAAAAGCCAGCTCAATTTACAATGCAAAATATGACAAAACAGCATAATTTGAATTACATATTTAAAATAAAAACAAGAATGACAGCAAATGTCATTGACATTTAAAGTCGCACACTTCAAAATTAAAGCTGCAGTTAATGAGGCTGTGGGACAAACAGAAATAGATGACCGGAACGAAAGACAAGAACTGAGTAAATAGTCGATACAAAATGCGAAAACTCGAACATACTCGGCGAAGTTGTAGACGTCATTAGGCAGCAAATTGACATTTCCGCTTAGTAAATGGTTGCGATTATTTGCTCGAATGTTGAATAAGCCAAGACGCAGCTGACATTTTTGTTTGCATAAAATCAATGCGCTTACAAATTGCAAATGCAATATACAAATTACAAATCACACTGAAACTGAATAAAACACACACGCACAAACGCACACGGACAGACACACACATGCACACGGGCAGAGATGGAGTCGGAAACGGAAACAGCAGCGACTGTGATTGATATGGAGAACTGAAACTAATGACATGCACATATTGCCATATGTGTAATACATTGATTGCCACAAATTGGGGCATGTTGCAGGTTATACTGGTGCTGAAGGCTCTCAACATGTACGGCGGCACACATCTAACTGTCATCATACAAATAATATCCCATGTGCTGGCCTATACGAACTCCTGCATCAATCCCATACTCTACGCTTTTTTGTCCGACAACTTTCGCAAGGCGTTCCGCAAGGTAAGGCAGCATTTTATTATATTATTGTTGCAACAATCTTGTTATTAGTATTATTTATAGTATATAGGTAAAGAGTATAAGGGTATAGTTCAAGAATTTATAATGCTGCAATCGGGTGCATTCGACTGCGCAATACTTCATTGCAGTCCAATAATCCATCAGATTTTTTAATAACTAGAAGAGATACTCAAGTCGGGAGTGCCCGACTAGGAGATACCCAGAAGCACATAATGTATGTATTCTTTGAGTCTTGATTCCTCGATTTGTATTGTCCAATCTTTACGAAATTTTCACAGTTTAAATGTGCCATACAAAAGTATATACATGTACGAAATGGGAAGGAACTACCTTAAATAAAAAATGCGATGATTTAATATGTGTACGAGAATCTACTTACCAAAATTAATGAATATAGTTTTTATAAATTTCGAGTTATGCTTAACGAAACATGTCTGAAAATCGATATATATCGATAATATGAAATTAGGAGAAGCTAACAAAGTATTGTAAAAATTTAAAATTTCGAGATTCTAGTCTTGTATTTTCCGAATTTGGTGCGTTCACAAAAAATGTACAAGCAGAGGGACAAACGGACATGGCTCGATGGAGTCAGTTTGTCGTCCTGATCAAAAACTCAGCCACACTCTCTGCAATATTCATCAGCAAAGAAATCCCCTTTATTTCGCAGCATGTAATATTATCTTAGCTGTAGGCTTTTGTTGTGAGTGCTGTTTAAATAGTTGGGTCGATAGCTTGCAACTAGGTATATTCTATGCCTGGAATAATTGTTAATTAAATAAAATCAACATTCTGTGCACATCTCCCCCCCTCACAGGTTGTCTGGTGCGGCAGCCCACCTCCAATTGTGACCAACCAGCAGATGACAAAGACCACAAGAACTGCGACCGGCAACGGCACGTCCAACATAGAAATGCTCTAAGCTGGTAAGTTAATTTTCCTAAACCTATTGACAGCTTTTCACTAATACTCTCTCTCTCTCTCTCTCTCTCTCTTTCTCAGTGTCTGCACTTGGTAATTCTGGAAAATAAATGGTTTATTTGTGCGCATTGCGACCACAGAATGCCATTAGACAGTTTTTAACTAAAATTATTGCAGTTATTTAATGCAAATATTACAAACAATGTAACTACATATGAATACATGCCCGCTATATTATTTCACACACTATTTTTTCGGTGTTGCCTAACTAGATAATAAAGCGTGTTTTTTTTTTCGAATAAGTAGTTTAATCCGCGACCCGAAAAATCTGTTGGTCGAATTCGGGATAGTGCTTGCCCCGTGCGAATGGCGTCAATTTGTTAAATATTTGTTCAGATGTATTTTTTTTAACAAATATTTACATTAAAAAAATAGGTATAGTACAGCTTATGGATGATAAGCAAGGGATATTGGAAAAAAAAAAAAAACAAAAATTGTTTTGGTGCAACAAAAAATTGTTCTATATAATCGGAATTATATTTTCACAGAAAATATGTATGCTTGATCAAAGGAAGCTTTCAACAATTTTAATTAAATTTGATTGTTTTGAGATATAAAAAACCTACTTTATCTGATTAGAGAAATGATATTTGTTATAAACAAGGTACAGGATATTTTTAGGTGGCCTGAGCTTAATGAATCCGTGTTCCTTGAAGAGGTGCATACATACGAAAATAGTTTATGTTTTGTTATATTTCGATGAGGGTTTATAAACCGCCATTAAAAGCATTAATTCCATTGATTATGTTGAAATATAATTGTTTACATTGGAGTATTAATATTATAAATTGCATATATGTCGTTGATATAGAGCCTCTGTCAGAAACGAGCAGCTCGCAAGAAGTGAACGACAGGCTAGCAACATGGTCAAAGTTTGGGTCATCTTAGACTTGGTAGAGATCAGAAGGAACTGCGATCAGTTTCCAGCGCATAATAAGACAAATTGAATCTTTTTAAAAAAATACTTAATTATACACAACTTGTTAATTATTATCGAGTTGATCAAGCCAAACCTGCGTAGAAGCAAGATTTTCTGCCAGCTTTAGCTTTTTTCCATTATCATTCTATGAATTTACCCATATTCCTTGTTTTATTTTTATTAATAAAAGAATTAAAGATATATTTACTATTATCTACAAACTCTCTGCTTCTCCCAAACGGAAGCAAAATACATTTTTTTGTTTATGGTAGACCAAGCCTAACCAATTAACATAGATTGTGCTCGGATTTCGTAATCGGTGCATTTAACAGGTTAAGTCATGTATTGCGATCAGAATTCCCGACACAGTTATAACTTATTTTGATTAGTTTATGCTGCATTCTGATTTATCTCATTTTTGTATTAATAAATATATTTTTCATTTCAAGAGAATTTCGTTCGCTTTTCGCGAGATAAAGCGTATAACGAGAAAAATGAATTACTGCGTACTCAAAGCGCAATTGAAGTTCATCAAGATGAAAATTCAATTAAAATAAATAATTTTAATATCAAGTACATTTAAATGGATATATATATATATATGTGTGTGTGTCTGTATAATGGTGAAAAGCAAGCTTATTGAAATAATTGAAATATGTCGCATTAAATTCCACAATTGAACTGTCCCAATTAAATATATACACAAAAAAGTCACAAAGGTATTTGCCAATAAAAGCAGGTAAATAAATTAAATACAAATGCGGTAAATTGGTTGACAGGTTTAAGTAATAATTGACATGCCATTCAAACGGAATTAAAATAATCAAACAATGTTAATTATTAAATTCATGAATGTCTAGAAAATAGTTTACATATATATATATATATATATCATAATATACATATATGTATATCATAAATGTATGCATATGTTTGCTTAAAATGGGGAAAGCAATGTGATTTATGAAAAGGGAAAGAAAGAGAGAGGGAGAGAGAGAGAGAGAGAGAGAGACATATAATAGAAAAGGAGCACCTGGCAAAGGATCATATTGCAGATCACGGTTACGATAAATGTTGTCAGTAATTAAAACTAAAACTAAAACTCATATTCAAAGTGTGCACAATTGTTGTAAGTTCCAATATATTTAGGTTCCTAAAAACAGAACCAAAAAAAGCTTAAACATTTCTAGCAACAGTGTGCTGGCAATAAAAGAAACAAAAGAATATATAGTCCAGCTAGTTGTAACATTAAAAAAAAAAGAAACAGTAAATGTACAAGCAGTTTGTAATTGCTAAGATCCATAATATGTTGTTAAATGCAATTACGACTCAAAATATATTATTACCAGCAAGAACAACCTGGCATTCGAATAAAGCTCCAGCTGATATTCGACACCTGAGTATTAATTCCAACACGAATTTCAATTAGTCCAATCCGCTCAACCATATACATTATAGAAATTTGATGGCACTTTATGTTAAACCCTTGCAGTTTGTTGTTACAAAAGCATGTTGTATACAAAATATATAATAAAATAAAATATATATATATATTATCGATCTATAATGCTGCTATATATTTAAAAGCAACTCTTCCGAGCCGAGCTGTTTGTCAAAAGATATTTTTGTTTCTAATTAACTGTAATTTCTGCTAGTATTATTTACATAAAAATAAAATGTCTGCTCTAAGGAGTCGCTTCTCAAAATTGGTTTAATTTCATAAATTTATATAGTTGAATTGTCCAAATTGTCCAATAATTCAAGCTACATGTATTTACCTCTGTTGTTTGCCCTTCTGGATATCAATTTTTAATAAGCTAATAATCAAAAACCTTTGAACTTTAAATATACTATATAAATATACATAGATGCTTATATATATCGGGTATCATTATATAAAAAATGCTTACACAAATTATATAATTAATGCTTTTCAAATCTGCAAGGGTATTTCATATTCGGCCGACGAAAAACATTTCATTTAACAGTTTTTTGTTAGACTTTTGAACCATAAAATAAATTCATAAATATTTTGTAAGGAAATGTGAAATTGTTTTATTAAAATTAAAACAAATATATACAGTATATATATAAATTTATAATTAATATCAAACAAATGCAGACCATTCGAATGTAAAATGAATTAATTAATATAATATAAAGATTATAATTATTATGCGTTTATTAAAACTATTTAAATTATATTTATATTGATAAGTGTTTTTTTATCTCTGAGTTTTTTGTCATTGTTTATTATTACGAATTTGTTTATTTTGCTTCGGCATTGCCGAACTAAAATGTAGCCTAAGTAAACTATAAAATGTTTAAAAAAAAAGTAGAAGAAGTAGTAAGCAACTTGTGGATTTCGTGTGTTATTTGCATATATTTTATATTTGTAAATGTTACCTACTGCATTCCTAGCACAGTTGTGGAATTGAACAATATTTGAATTGAAACTTTTGCAAACCAACAATAAACAAATACAAATTGAAATATTGTAGAGCTAAGCAAAACTTAACCAAAAACACAAAAAAACCCAAAACAACTCTAAATTATTAGCAACTAAATGATTGTAAAAATATTAAATAAATACAATTTTTTTTTAATCAGCAACTCATTTAGATGTTTGTATGTACGTATTTATAGGGTATTCAGCAGCTGCATAAATGCAAGCATGAAAAAAAAAATAATTACATAAAAAAGTTAAATAAAAAAAAATTGGCATGCAATTTTCAAAGCAAAAACAAAAACTGAATAACACAAAAAGAAGTGAATTATTGTATTTAAATATGAATGTTTGTACCATGAATTTGATTCTTGTGTTAATAAAACGTATACTATATGTACAAGTTGCGTATAAATGGACTTGAATTCGTTTCACTTGTTTGGCATTCGACAGACACTTCCTCTTTTGCATGGCCACAACCTGATTAGCTGACTGATTGACTGACTGACCGTTAGAGCTGGCAAATTATATTTACCTGGAAAATTGCTACAGCTGTCAAAAATTCTTGGAAACGAGTGCATACAATTTTGTTGTTTACTATCTGATCGTTATTTTCAAATTGAAATTCATTGGAAACTTGTTTCACACTTCTCGGTAAATCCATCAACATGGGTGCAAAAGTTTTGCCCGATCGCCCTCACAACGTGTTTTAAAAAAAAAAAAAAAATTAAACTAACTGAATACCGAAACACAGAGATTTTGAGAATCCCACGCACATGGAAAATTTGTGAAACAAGGTTGTGTAAGCTCTTTTTGTTATTTATTGTTATTTATCAAATTCGTGTACGCAAAATATATCAGAAATCATTGAAGCCCTATTCGGCACTTTTCTGGAATTTACAGAGGCCAAACTTAATTTTAAACCTCAACAAAAACATATGTGATTCGGTTTTTTTGGGAAGTTCTACCCACGGCAAAAACGGTTGACTGCGTTTGACTATTTTTTCTTGTCCAATTAAATTATTTTCATTTAAAGGCGATATCGATGCTGATTGTAAATGGAGGCTCAAGATAATATGGAAAAGTTAAGCATTTTCAATGGGCGAGAAATAGAAATGCGATATCTACGATTAAATAAAATAGCTAGGCCCGTCCAAGCACGTCTAATACCCGCCAGTTTCATTTAAATGCTTTGATATTTAGTATAGTTATAGTATTAAAAATATATATTATAACCAAAAGCACAAAACTTTCACTTATGCAATCAGTTGTCAACCCTTAAAAAGATCTTTTAGGGTATTACCCATTGTTTCCCTTCCCTTACTCTTGCTTTAACTATCTTACTCGAAAGCAATAAAGCAACAGATTATGTGCTTTAATAAAAGCTATCTCTAAGAAATTGGATTGGGATTTATCTGATATATATATATAACAATATATATCAGCGAAGGCTTTGTGTAGCTTAAATCAGACTATAAAGTCGGGTATTCAATCTTTGTCACACTTTAAACAACTACTCCATGTTATTTTGCTCAAAGCTCTAAGGAATTAGATATACGTATTTCACCTCTTCAAATTTCACTGGCACTCACACAAAACAAAAGACAAAACTCAACTGCTTGAGCGACAGATAGGCGGTGCCTCGGTATTTCAGGTGCACCATCTTGAAGAGGTCCCAATGCAGCACTGAGCCGGGACCAGCGACAATACCAATTGGCAAACAGAGCTCCACTCGACTTTCGACCTGCGCAGATTTTAGCCATGTAAATTGGCAACTCGTGTAAACAGGTACATTATTTAGTTAAGCAATTGCGTTTCTGTGGCCAGCCGCCCCACTGGACTCCACCGCAGCTGAACTGTGAACTGTGGCCCAAAAGCTATGACTATGCGAGCAAAAACTTTCCCTATATAGAACGTATAGCAAAACTGTAAGAAAGCTATGGCTTATGATTAAATAAATGCCGAGGAGTAAAATCACTTGCAGATTTGCGTTATAATTTAATATTCTATGTTTTATAGGTCCACTTCCATACAGCCTTCAATCCGTTTGCATAGAAACAGACAGACAGGCGGCGCAGCTTGTCGTCTTGATCAAGTATGTAGTATATAGTTTATGAGGTTTGAGGTGCATTCTGCAACGCGTTAAACTATTTCGCACATGTCACTCCTTTTAATAAAGTCTCCTTGGAATAAAGTCTGGAGGACCCAAACAGGCTTCAGCAGCTAAATGTTTTGTAATAAAATGTATGCTATATTTGATCCAATATAATAAACATTAAGAACTCTATTTGTATTTAGCAGAAATAATATAACTGTCAAGAGAAGATAGGAGAAAAGATTCATTCATGATCCTGAATATATATATTGTTATAGATTAAAATATGTCTCCTGATTGGTATAACAAGTATATGCATATTTAACAATCTTTTGCGACGACTTAAACTATGAGAATAATATGATAGCCGATTTCGAAAATCCAATTGGTTTTTTACTGCGTACCGAAGCTTTAATCAAAGCAAGTGTACATATAACATTCGAACATGAAACCGTACATATAACATTCGAACCGATCCATTGACTTTTCATAAATTATTAAATTTAAATATATAAAACTTTTTAGGAGCTGTCTCCCTCCAAAGCACAAACCCGCAACTTGTCTACGACTTGCAAGTATTTCAGTAGAACGGGCAGTTAAACATTTTAAATTAAATGATTCGATTAAAATGTTTAATATATATGACAAGTGGTTTGGCATGACAGCCCTGCTTATGAATTCGTAACTTTCTTAAAATGTATTAATGCATTTTATAGATCAGATATTGAGATGGTTGGATGGATAATAAGATGGATGTAGTTCAAGAACAATATATTTCATGTATCTTGTATTTCATCGCATAAGCTTTGTATTTCTTTTTTATCAAATTTACATGTACACTCTGACTTTCTTACTTACTCCGTTTTTTGTAAGGCACAACTATCGTGTATTTTTCATCGCATAAACTTTATAATTTTTAATTTGAAATTTAAGTACACTCTGACTTTCTTACTCTCTCAATGCAATAATAGTAACTGCACACTAGAGTTTTATAACGATATCGAACATAGTCATAGTTTTTATATTTTCATAAAATACAACTCCTTTAAAAAGTAACAAAATATATGAGACTTCACCATGGCTCAGGTAAGTGTGAATGGGTTTCCCTGGTAAACAAGCTTGATGTCTTCTGTGTCTCATGTGCCGTGCCAGCGACCAAAGTTCAAGGTGCCCAACTACGGCATGGGGCGCAGGTCCTCGGTTATAGCCGTACTACAAAAACTTAAACCATGCATCTATGACAAGTACGCTTCTTTTTTGGGTGACAAAAAGGACGACGAGAACTCGACGGAGGCGGAAAAGTTCACCCTAAGCGGAAACGCAGCTGAGAACCAGAAGCAGCAGCCAGAGACAAATCCCAAGCGGATGACAGCTAAGTTTGACCCAGCTAGGAGCATTTGGCAGAGTAGAGTAAAACAAGGTTCACCGCAACGTCTGCCGACTATACCCGAGGTTAAGGAGGTCCCCAAAGAGTTCAAAGAAACTTGCAACCAGGTAAATATTAACCCGACTCTCAAGGTGACAGTTAACCTCTCTCCAAGCTGCCCAAGAAAAATCGATCTATATTCACGGATGAAGAGCTGAAGCTTCTCTTACCGATAAGCCGCTATATAGACGACAAGCTGCGGCATCTTGGGGGTGCCATAAAGGCCAATGGGATTGGGGAAAATGTAATTGTTATCGAGAATCAGAACATAAGGCCACAATTTGTTGTAGCCTTGCCCGAGCCGCGGTTCGCTTGGCGCATTGAAATCGATCTGGTTACCAATCCCACGGCCATTTATCTTATAAGCTCCGGCATCTTTTGGAAGGAAACAATGCAACATGCCAATCCCAATACCGTAATGATGAGAGCCATTGAGCAGACGCTCTACCCCATGGACGACAATCTCAATGACAAGAAACTAACCAATACCTACGAAGGCATTTCAAATACCGTGACTTCCTATGTGACGGATATTCAAACGTTCTGGAAACGCGATCCGAACCAATTCATGAAAATTGTTGTAACTTATTTCGTTATACTTTGTTTAGTTGGATTTCTGTTTACCATATATATTTAGCTGAACATCCCGAAATTACCTTTATTGTTAAATACGTTAGTCAAGAAATTATTTTGTTATTATGTTATAAGTTATTAAAATTAGAATCCGAAAGAAATATATGTGCCTCATTTCAACTGCAATTTAAAACTCTCTGTATAGTCTTTGATAATATCTCTCGCAGCTAAATAATACAAAATAAAGAATCTATGCCGAACATCAAAGATTATGGAAAAAGTGAAAGAAATTGGGTGATCCATGAAAAATTCTCTCTTACAAACCCTTAAAATGATGACATTTGTAATCTGCGCAGACTGGGATGAATTCTTGTAATGGGAACTAATAAACATCAGAACGTGTTTTATGCTAGTTCCCTGCCATCGGTTGACGCAAATTTATAACTATAAAGAGAAAGATACAAACAAATATAGCTAAACATATTTCTTTCAAGTTTAGGCAGAGTAGCGTCAAGCGAGACACAGCTTCGATTCATTTCCAAACATACCAGAAATTTCTGTTGGGCTTACATTTAGCCGAAGGAAATTACTTTAAAAATAAGCTAAAAGTTCAGTCAGGTATTTTGAGTAAAAACTCGAAGGTTTGCACCACTGTGGCTGCAAAATTTATGCGAATTTGTTAATGAATATCCGTGAACGCCACGGCCGGGACAGAAGACAACAAGTGGGACTGCAGCTGGAGAGATGGAGGATACGGAGCTGAATTTTACGATGCAAACAAAAAATAATCGTAACGTGGTCAAGTTTATGCTGTTTGTTTGTTAGCAGGTAAGCAGCAGCAGCAGCAGCAGCAGCAGGTTGGAGCAGCAATTGGGGTCCAGAGTTGCGGGCAGAGCACACACAGAGCACAGGATACGGGCAGATAAACAAGGCAATAAGCGTCAGGCAGGCAGGACACTTGTTGCCATTGCTCCTCATTAGCCGGCGCCCAACTTGCATATGAGTGGGCGTCTGCTTGGCTTTTGCACCACTCTGGCTCATTAGTTCAAATATAAGGCCAAAGGGCGTTTCATTTAATTATGCAGACGCCGCCAGTTGGGCCCCACGCGGTTATATTTCAAAACCGGCCAGCGCAACCAGCAAGCCGTTCAGTCAACCAGTGTCCACCGTGTTAACCACAACCGTCGCAAGCGCAAGAGCTCCCAGCCAACCAGCCAATCAGCCAGCCAGTGAGCCAACTAGTCCCAAGAGAACACAACTCAAGCCATGAGCCAGATCGGCGGAGTTGCCGCAGGGCCACGCAACTGGACTCTGCGCGGCGCTGTTCTGCTCCTGGCCCTGCAGCTACTCCAGACACCAAATGCACTGCAGCACACCGAGGAGGGACTCGAGTTGCTCTTTCGCGAGCGGTAAGTCCTCAGATCATTTCGATAATTCACGGTTCGGTTCATGAATATGGATTTGGTTCGAACTTGCAAAATAAATTGGGTATTTACATTTATTTTTTTTTATTTATGCTTGACGGTTAAAAATTGTGCCACAATATTTTCTATTAGCAAAAAACGAATATTATTTCAAACCCACCCAATTTGTGTGTAAAATTTAGGTTAGTTTCCAACTTATCCGATAAAATGTGTTTTTCAAGTTATGCAAAGATCGCATTACATTATAAAATTGAGCTTTCAGGCTAAGAACAGCTAGGAGACTAGGAGGGTACAAACTGTTATACGGATTTAACTTTTTTTAAGGTGCCGAAAAGTATGCTATAAAATTGATTCGATTGTGCTAAACTTAATAATAGTATGAAAACAATATTATATTTGATTTATCAAATGGAGATATTATAAACTAAAACGAGAACAATAAATAGTATCTCATTTTAGCTGCAGATTAATAACATATTTTTTATGGCGTATAATATGTTTAAAAGTGTACATGCTTAGACTATAAAAACACTTTTTGTTTTTTGTCAAGCAATCAATATTATCCACCAACAATTTCTACGATTGATTATATGATTGAATGCTGCCGAATATTGTACATTTTTAAAGAAAAAAAGTAGCGAAGTGCTTTTTAAGTGGAGTTTCACAATGCATAAGAAAAAATTTTTTTAACGATTTTAAGCATCGTTTTTTTTTTTTAATACTAAAAACTATTTCAGCTAATAATACAAGATCGAGAACATAATCGCAAAGCCTAAAAAATTGACCCCAAAAATAGTCAGTTTAAAAAAAAATAATAGAACCTGCTTCCTCTGTCTGTTTCAAATATTAAAAAAAATACATTCGTTTTAGAATAGATGAGGGTTTATATCATCACATATTCAATACGAAAAAAAAATTAATAATATCTACAAAAAACACAAGATTTTTAAGTAAAGAAGAAGAAGGAAGGTGGAAATATTTGTTAATGCAAAGATTTTTTTTTAAATAATAGTAATAATCGAGTAATAAATAAAGAATGAAAAGAATCAATAAGAAAAATTAATTGTCCCAAAGCTGTTAACTTTATAAGTGAAATTAATTAATTAATTAATTAATCAAAAATTTGCACAGCTCACAATCCGATTGGGAGAACGTGTGGCATCAGGAAACGCATTCCCGATGCCGGGACAAGCTGGTCCGCCAGCTCTACTGGGCCTGCGAGAAGGACATTTACAGACTAACCCGGCGCAACCGCAAGAGGGGCGGAAGTGAGGTCTGGACCAAGACCAGCTACAATCGTGAGTAAACGTGAACTTCATATTCAATTGTGTGCACATTTGTTGTACTTTGAATAAGCATTTTTACCTCAGGTCAAGAATTTTTCTACATATTTTGGTGAAATTCTTGTACAAATCGTAATTGAAATTATTTCCCATCCTATTTTCTGCACAGCCGCTGCTGGTTCCGCTGCCTCCACCTGGCTGCATGTGAACTATGCCAACATGTTGCTGCGCAGCAGACGCTCCGATGCGCCCTCCATTACCAACGAGTGCTGCACCAAGACCGGCTGCACCTGGGAGGAGTACGCCGAGTACTGCCCCTCCAACAAGCGCCGCAATCACTACTGAGTCCCTTCAATTGCCGTGGCTGTTCTCATAAGCCCATAATATTGCCTATATAAGTATATACACGATATAACTCCATTCTTTTTTTTTTGTGTCTGTTGCGTCACGTTTGCAGTTAAATAAAATTGTAGCCACAGAAATACATTGTTTCATTTAACATTAGTCTTAAAAAAACTAAAGAAAAACAAGTTAATTAGCAGTTTTCGGGAACGCCCGACTTGAAGTTGCCCTGACCCTAACGTCAAGCTGTCACTGCGCCAAATATGGGAGTAGGTATACAAAAATGAAATATTCCCTATCTGCGTTCACCATATGAAAACCTACATACCATTTGATGGATCTAGCTCTTATAGTCTTCGAGTAATGCCTAAAAAACATTTTTTTGAATCGATATTTATCGATATTATGAAAATTGAAAAGGATATCGAAAGGAGATAGCTTTTCTGCGTATGGTATATATCATAAAGCTCTCAGATCTATCGAAAACTTTTCTGCTTCTTAACCAAGTAAGAAATAAGAAGCTACACTATTTTCATAACAACATCGTACTGCTTATCATATAGAACAAGGGGTTGGAAATACACCGAAACACTCCTAAACCATAAGTCCGAATAAGAGTATTCAATCTTCGGCGTGCCGAAGATATTATTACTTAAGTGGGGTTAACACAAGTTTTATTCAATTAAACTAAGCACACACAACAAAGGAATACATATGAACACGTTTTCACCAACTTGTCGGATACTTCTATGTATCACAGATGCATTATTAAATAATTACATAATTAAAATGGATAAGATGCAAGTAAAGCCAACTTAAATAGGTAAGTGAAAAAAACAAACAAAAAAGTCGTTGCATAAATTCAAATCTAATTTGGTTTTTACTATTTCGTTCGAAATTCGCAAACTGATGCAGAAGCGTCCAAATTAAAAGCATAAACAACTTTTTTTATAACTAAAACTTAGTAACAATTTTGTGTATAAATATATATGGGTCTACAAACAAACTAGTTATAAGATCCTGTATACTATATATAGATTATCCCATAAGTAATTACAAATTGTGTATTAACTTCAACAACTACAGCTGTGTCATATTAAACTACACTTAAAAGAGAGACAACCTACTAAAATCTGAGTGTGAATATATAGGCCAAGCCCTACAGACATATATCTATATATATATATATATATATATATATATCTATTGAAGACTCTATATGTAGATAAACTCTAGTTGATTACAAATCTATGCCTTACTGCAGATACCATATGTGGAACACACCACACCAAAGCAATAGCAGTCGCACCGAAGCGAAAGAGATGGCAACAGAGTGCAACTGTGAGATTTAGCTATATAGCATACAGGGATATCGGGGAGGGACTAATTCCGGCAATTGTTGCCGCTGCTCGCATCGCCATCCTTGCAGTCCTTACGCGCTTTGCCGCACTTGTCCGCATTTGTTGACTGATGCTGCCGCTTGGAGCCGTTGGCCTGTCCCTGATCGTAGTGCCGGTCCAGCATTTCGAGCAGCGTCTGCTGACGCTTACCGCCGGCATGGGCTGGTGAACTGGCAGCACCAGCGACTGCAGCTGCAATTGTGTTGTTGCTGTTGTTGGTAGTGGTGGTGGTGTTGGTGGTGTTGGTGTTGGTGGTGGTGGTGGAGGTGGTGCTGCTGCTGCTGCTACTACCGCCGCTCTCAAGACTTGCAGCCAGCATCATGGCATTGGCCTGCTCCTGTTCGGCATCATCATCCGGCACTAAAACGCCATTGTTTTGCGAGCAGTCCGAGTCGGCAAATAGATCTGGACTCTGCTGCGTTGTTGCGTTTGTAACTGGAGCTGGAGCTGGAGCTGGAGATGGAGATGGAGCTGGAGGTGCAGCTGGAGCTGGAGTTGGAGTTGCTGCTGCAGCTGTTTCCTTTGGTCGAGCGCCTGGCTGTTCGTGTATTCTCTTCAGCTCCTCGAGCACAAATGCATACAAGGACTTACTGCCGCCTTCTTTCTTGAAGCGACGCAGCACGGAGTAGAGCTGCTGCACAGTGGTGCCATGTGCTCGGAACAGCTGCCAGAGCACGTGCAGATCGTCGCGCAGATGGCGATTACCAAATGTGTAGTAGGCCAAGGGGCGGCAATGGTGCGCGCAGACCATCATTTGAATGAGCGCCTTGAGGTGCGGATCACCGCCAAAGGCGCCACAGCCCCAGTTGCCGGTGGCTACGCCCGGCGGCGGAGTAGACAGCCAGTGCCTAAATCCAATGGAAGCCTTGTTCAACTCACGCAACATAAGCTCCTCGCGATACTGATGTGATTGCAGCTCCTGGCCAAAACTTAGTGCATCAATGGCCACAATAGCCGTATGACGACGTCGCGAGCAGTCGTAGGGTGTGCGGTCATCGTGGTTGCCAGCCCAGACAAAGCTGCTTGCATAGCCCGTGTAGTTGCTGTAACGCTCGCTGCCTACCATCAGCAGCGCCTCCGTGGGCAGCAGACACTCCGTGAAGAGCTTTGACACCAGCAGCTCCGGGCAGATAACAAAGCGTATTTCCTCCTGTACACAGCCCTGGCCCAGGACACCACCGCCCAGAAATTTATTGGCAAAGTCGACCTGCAGCAGACCAATGCCCTGATCCTCAATGGTGCCTCCAGCATTAATATGCATGGGTATGCTGGCCAGAACCGCGCTGCTTGAATACCAGTTGACCTCATCCTCCGGCCTGCCACTGAGCCTCACAAACGTCAGGCATCCTGGGGGCACGTTGCTGGCGTCCCGTTCCGTGGGACAGACGCGACGAAAGTAATGAAAAATACATTTGAGTTTCTCCAGCACTGCCGCACCGCCCGACTGATAGAGTCTGTAAAATAAACATACGTATATATATATATTTGTGTAAATGGCAAATAGTTTGTTCTCACTGCCCAAACCTAATTCGGTTACCTATTGAAGTTAATGTCGGGAAAGTTGCTGTACTCGGATTTGCGCTTGAGAGTATTACGACGAGGATATGTGCAAAGGAATGCGTTTGCCAGCAGGCACGAGATCTGCTCCTGGCTCAGCGACAGGGCAACTGATTGGTTTTGCTTAAGCAACGGAATCGGTGCCTTGATTAGCTCCGGCAAGCGCAGGGCTAGGCGGATAATGCGCGGTAGCAGATCCTCAAAGAAGACGCGCGACTCGCTCTCGTCCAGCTCCTCGTTGAAGAGCTTGTGCAGCGCACGAAAGCTCCATTGGCCCTTGTACGTGGTGTTATACGACAGAATGGCCGCCTGCAGCTGTTTGCTATTGCTTATCGGACGCAGTAGGGCGCGCTCTATCATGCCCCAGCGCGATTCAATGTTGGATGTGCCGTCCTCCGCCTCGACTGGATATTTGCTCTCTGCGGCACAGGGGAGACGTACATGCTCGGCATCCCAACGATGTGGGGCCCGAAACGGACGCGGCGGCTCACTAGCCGGCCCGCGTATTGGATGTCGATAGAGCACCTTGTGCTGGCCGCTAGGATGCACGGCGCTCAAGTGATCTAGTTCGAACGGATGCAAGCCACGATGCACGGACTCAATAGGCAAACAGCGCCAGTGCCATTGCGGCTCCGACTCGCCGTCGCTGTCTGTGAATAAGGGCGGAAATAAAAATTAAAAAATTGGCGGACGCTCATTTGCTGAACTCACCAGCTGAGCGTTGCGACACTGGCGGCGAGACTCTTCCGGCGACTATATCCTGCCTATCCGCATCTATTTCCATGCTTTTATTGCTTTCACTGTCCATTTGATTACCACCGCTGCGCGTATTCTTGAAATCGGCAAGTTGTTTAACAAATTGAAAACGCGATAGCGTTGCCCAATGGAAACGTAGTGCTGGTAAACGTTTACTGAATTTTAACATACCCACAATGATTTTGTAGTATGTGCAATTTTTAATGCGCACACTTGTTAGTTTCAAATTGTAAATATTATGTTAATAACATCTCACAGGAAAAAGTATAAGTTCATTTTGTTTAACATATTAAGTATGTGAATAAATTATTTGTATCGATGAGGCAAACGCGCGTTCGCAGTCAACTTTAAGTGAGTCCAAAATTGCGCGCAGCCAACTTCACGTATGTTCGAATTTGCGCGCGCTCAATCTTACGTGTGTGTTTCTTTATGGCATTTGATTTAATGACACTATATAAAATTAGAAAAAGATCAGAAAAATAAAGTTTGCTTATGTATTTTGATCAAAGAAATATTATTGCATGTCGACCATGTCATAAAACTGGTCAGCGTTAATACGTAAATATACACATTTGTTTATTTGATTGAACCATGCGAATTTCACGAAAGCAATGAGACATGGATAAAGAGAGAAAGAGAACGAACTTGTTAGGTACTTATTTTTGCTACCTGCACTTAAATTTACCGTTTGTTTGTGCCTAATATTTTGCTGTTTAGCGTCTACCCGCACACATGTATACAAAAATGTTCGCGTGTATGTGCATATTAAGTACTTTCGTAGAGTTCAACACACCTTTATCGGTGCCTAATCAGCCGCACTAGGCGAGCTGCGCAGTTGCTGGATTTTATTTGGAACTCTTTTGCGTTAGCTTCGTGCGAAGCATCGCGTCGCGTCACATGGCGGTTAAATGCGTAAACAAATGAAAAAAGCAAAGGAAAGCAGCAACAAAATTATCACTGAAATTTTGTCGATCCGCTAAACTCAATTAGTTTTCTGGTGTGTGTGTGTGTGCGTGTGTTTATGTGCGTTGGGTATGTATGTTTTACTGTGTGTGTAGCCTTCAAGTCTACGCCGCAGTCGCCTTGACCATAACCTAGAAATATACATACGCGTTGTGGCGCTCTCAGAGATTGCCCACATGCATATGTATGTGTATGTGTATATACTATAAGGTGTATTTGTGTTTGCGTCAGCTGCGCAGCTGCAAACAGGTACGCAGGCAGCGGCAGTGACGGCGGCGTCCAATCAGGTGCCAAAAACAAACGACAACAGTGAAAGCAACAGCAACAAAGCGGCAGCATAAGGAGACACACAAACAGGCAATGAAAGCGCCGCCGGCCACAAATACATGTGCATGTACATATGTACATACATTTAGAGAATGCGAAATGTTACTAAACTTTTTCAAGGTCATCTCAAGTATGAACTACAAATCGCAATCACAATTAACGCCGACGTCGACGTCAGCGCAGTCAACTGCAGGCAGCGTAAGATGCGAACTGCAAATGTTGTTGTTGCTTAGTTTATGCATAAGAAAATAATTATAAATGACTGTGTCTGGAATACTCTCTTCAATGGATCACGAGACCCAAGCTTAACTCTTCGAGAAGGCAGTTATTTCTCTGCTATATAAAGTATTACAAAATCTTGCATAATAAAGAAAATTTTAAAAATACATTTTTATAAGAATTTTTTTCTGACAAACAACAAAACATTTTGGAATTTTCTCTTATCGATGCGCTTAAGTAATCATGTTTTTCATTATCTTAACATCTCGTTTACAGTACATCCATATCAATTTACTCTGATGCAAGTGACGTAATACTGTACGGTATAGTTGACATGATAAGCATAGATTTACCTAAAATCATAAACTTGTGTTATTACATTTATGTTTTGAATTCTCTTCGAGTTTTTAGCTTTCAATTGTTCAGTACAAATTTCACTTTTATTGCTTATCTCATGCAGTGCGAATGATCACCCTGTCCTTGCGGACTGGCACCCTGTAGGCAACACTCATTGCACTTTGCTCTGATGTTTTCAAAAGCGAAACACAAGCTTTTAGGTGCGCTTCTGTAAGCTTAAAAGCCAAGCCGCATTTGTTTTGATTTTCTGCTTCTTTTATTTTTGTCGTTTTCTACGGTGGCAATAACAAAAACGTTAATAAAATGCGCCAAGTCGCACGTTTGCCAATTTATTGTTGCTGCTGCTGCTGCTGCTGTCGTTCTTTTTGTTGTCAGCGCCGCGTCGCAGCAACAAACACAAAAGCCGAGTAACAAAGAGGTGCGATAATCGAAGCAATCGAATATTATTTTTGATTTGCATTGTTTGCACTTCGTGTTTCTCTCTGTTTTCGCCTTGCCAAACGGTCGATTGCGCTGCGGAGTGGGCAATCGGGTGGGTTTTTGGGGCGTGGAGCACAAAGCAGCACAATGCAATTTACACACACATAAACACACACACACACACACACACGCACGCCTGCATACATATATGCATATGTACGGGCAGACGTTGCTGCCATCTATAAATAGAAGCAAACTGGATGTGCGAGAGCTGTTAGTGGGGTGTGGGGGGCTTGCGGTGCTCTTAGTGCACGGGGCGTGGCTAACCACGTGTTGCTAGGCGGGTCGCTCAACCCAGCTGCGCTGTCCATTTCTTCTTCTTTCTGCTGCACTTGCTATCAATTTTTTTTTTTTTTTTTTTTGTTACTTAACTTTGGCACACACAGTCATACAGACACTCATGTTTGCGTGCATGTGTGTGTGTGTTCCTCTGCTAAATTTTCGCATCGCATGACCTTGAAAATTCTATAGCCATATCTAAAAACGGCTGTGCGCTGTCGACGTCGTCGTCGGCGTTGACGTTGACGTTGACGTCGACGATGACAAGTCAACAAACAGCGATAGAGACGCAGGCAAAACAAATTTTTCTTTATTCTTGTTTGTTGCCCGAAATACAAAATCACAAATTGTTACCGACACTTGCACCCATACATATATACATACATATGTATGTGCATACATACGTAGATACATTCATAAATATGTTCTGTATGTATTTACACACATTTTTTTAAGAAAAGGTTCACTAATAAACACATTGGTTCAATTGGGAAGTTTTGACCGATTTCACTGAAAAAAAAGATCATCAACTTGTCTAAAGCGGAACGATTCGAAAATATTAGGGCTACTCCCGAAAAGAAATATCTGCATTCCTTGGCTACGCACTTTACAGTCGTACGTATTAATATGAAGAAAAAGTCAAGAAAGAAAGCTATTTATATTTGACTTTTTTAATGCAGTGTAATTTGTGTAAAGCTGAAACCATAAAATACGTTTTCACTTGCATCTGCGAAAAATCGGTGAATAGCGCAAAATTTCGCAAATATGCAATTTAATTTAATATAGTATTTGGTTTTATCAAAAAACTGACTTCGTTTTTTTACTGGCTCTTCCACCAGATAGACATAATTCCAATATTATACACCTGTATTGGTGTATACAATAAATTAACCTTTAAATATCGAAGGCTCACCTAACCTAACCATAAAACAATTATATATGTGTACTAGCCCGCGGCTCGTATAAAATAAATTCTGTCAAAGATCTTTGAAAATGATTTTGAAACCGATCGGACGGTGAAAGTAAAAACTTTCATAGAACAGTTTTCCGCCAATTTACCACTGTTGCGGGTGATATTTCCCAAATCGCTGAAACACGTATTCATTAAATTCTTATGCAGATCTTTGAAAATAAGTTGGAAGCAAATCGGAAAAAAATTGAAAACTTCACCAAAAAAAACTTTGAATTGCACTTTCCACCGAAGAATTTTGGGTTTTGCAAAAAATGTGAAGCACGTCTCAATTGATTTTTTATGTAGAACCTTGGAAATGAATTTTTTGGCGAAACGTCACCCACCAAATCTTTGACCCCCATTTCCACCATTTTGACAAAGATCTTTTTAGCCGATCGGATGGTAAACAAAAAACTTTCATACAACAAAGCCAATTTACCATTTTAAGATTTTAAGATTTTTTTGGTGAATGTTAAGAGTTTTCCGATTTGCATAAAAGTTGTTTGATTCCCGTCCGATCAGTTTTAAAATCATTTTCAAAGCTTTTTTGATTTTATAACATACGTGCCACGGGCAAGGCCGGGTTATACCCGCTAGTACTTTATATATACATATATATATATATATATAAATATTGAATACTGTAGGGTATTTAAATGATTTGATAGAGGTGCGTTTGCTTAACTAATATGAAAACAAACTAAACAAATTATTTTTGACTTCATTTATGAAGATAAACATAATTTGTTCCCGGTCTTAACCACTGCAAAGCTAGATAACACAAGCTAGTCAATAAGCACTAACTGACCACATGGCTAACGCTTTAATATGCCTCTATTTACACACCCAACACTCACACAAAGGTTATAATCAGATATTCATAAAGAAAACTTAATATTTAGCAAGACAAAGTGGTACGAGCCCTTAAGCAAAAAAAAACATGCATTTATAGTTAGGTTTATTTTAATTACGTCTCCCAAAACAGAAGAAGCAGATTGGATCAGATAGAAATAGGCCGTCTTTCTCAGGGCACACAAACCGAACTCAGAAACACCTACTCGATTCCACTGTATCAAAAAACTGATCTAAATGCTTAGAATCGAAATATTCAAACATGCAGGTCTGATTAATGTATTTGCAAATCCAAACAATGTATATATATTTAAGGTTCTCGATTTTCTAAAGAAAACTCAATCGTAAAACAAAATTTTAAATATACATTTAAGCGCACAATTATAATTAATAATTCAAACAATTAATAAATAAAAACACAATTTTAAGATATATATCTTAATACATACATACACACATAACATATTATTATAAATAAAGCAAAAAGAGTATATAGTGAAAAGAATATATTTTTTGAATACTGTTAGAAGGAAAAAGGGAAAGTTTTTTTGTGATAGAAATAAGAACAAGCAGTTACAGGACTACCCCTAATGTTAATTTAAAAATAATTAATTATATAAGTACGTGGATTGCGCTCATTTATAAATAGGTGTGAACTATGTATATGACCATTTGCCAGCTTTCAAATGAAAATTATTGTAGTTTATTTTTTATTTTTATTTTATTGGTAACGGGTAAACACTTAATTATTGTTGGCTTTTATTTTTTTATTTTCTCTTTATTTTCGTTCGGAAATTGTTTAACGCCTACACGAAAATGTCATTTGGTGCAAAAGTGACAACAATAAAGACGTAGTAAAGCAAAAACAACAACAAATTATTGCAAACGAAAGAAAAAACAACAAAAGCAACAACAAAATATTTGGAAAAAGA